ATGTGGCGGCACATTACTGGGGTAAAGAGGCCAGCTGCAACAAACAGCCAACGAAAAGATGAGGATGAGGAAAAGAAAAGTAAAGAAGACATTTTAATACAAAGTGAACAATCGGCGGCAATGGCAAGGTTCGTGAGCAGCTGATTTATGACAGCGACTGTTGTTTCGCAACGTTCATGCGATCAGAAAGAAGATGAGGCCCTTTTTCTGACTACGTTTGGATGTATTATTAAACTGTTGGTGAGATGGGATGAGATAATGTAACGCTGACGTTACAGTACAATGACAGTTGCACAGATGTGTGTGCGTGTGCAACTGTGCATATTGGGAGTTGGGAACTGGTGAGAAAATGTCCGGTACCCGGTAATTTTACCAGTAATAACAGTATTAATTTAGTTCATATTTAACGGTTCCTGAACGCTGTAACTAAAAGCTGTTAAGAGTAAGACCTACGTGAATAAATCCGCCATCAACACAGCCGCGTGTGGTTTGCTTACGAGCTGCGGTAGGTCTATCTGTTGTAGCCTATATTATAGCTAGCCTATACTATATATGTTGTGTTTGTGTGTCTGTCAAAATCAATTAATAAAAAGATTTTTTTTTTAAATGTATGTTGTTAGAGTTATTATTACTTGACAGCACTTAAATGTGTATTCTTACAAGTTAAAGACATATTGTGAAATTCCCGTTTTTTTTGTTGTTGTTTTTTCACGTTTATGAGGCAAAAAAAAATGGCTGGTAAAAAGTCTCTGTGGCAGGTGAATTTTTAAATCCACCTGCCACAGTGGCCGGTGGCCGAAAAAGTTAACTTAAGGCCCTGGTCACAACCCCCGAGTGGACTGGCAGCACAAAGCAATACTGGAGTGGAGCAAGGAATGTCATAAGTCTTGTGTCTTGTGTCTGCTTGTCCGTCTGTGCCTGTTCTTGTCTTTCAGGAGGAGGCAGGGGATCTGTCTAACGTGCCCGAGGAGTACCATGACCTGAAAGAAGTGTTCAGTAAGTCTAGGGCTGCTTCTCTTCCTCCTCATCGTCCCTATGACTGTGCCATAGACTTAATGCCAGGTAAGTCTCCGCCTAAAGGCAAGTTATATTCACTTTCTATTCCAGAAAGGGAGGCTATGGAGAAATATATTTCTGATTCTCTGGCAGCCAAATTCATCCGCCCTTCCTCTTCACCAGCTGGGGCGGGGTTCTTTTTTGTGGGGAAGAAGGATGGATCTCTGCGACCTTGTATTGATTACCGAGGGCTGAATAACATCACGGTAAAGAATACCTATCCTTTGCCGTTGATGTCTTCAGCCTTCGAGAGGTTGCAGGGAGCATCCATCTTCACGAAATTGGACTTGCGTAATGCTTATCATTTGGTCCGCATCAGGGAGGGGGATGAATGGAAGACTGCGTTTAATACCCCCAGGGGGCATTTTGAATTTTGGTCATGTTTTTCGGGCTGTTCAACTCCCCAGCAGTCTTCCAGGCACTTGTCAATGACGTGTTGCGAGACATGATAGATCAATTCATATATGTTTACCTGGATGACATATTGATATTTTCCTCGTCTCTCCAGGAGCATGTGCAACACGTACGGCAAGTGCTTCAGAGGTTGTTAGAGAATGGGCTTTTTGTCAAGGCGGAGAAATGCGATTTTCATGCACAGTCTGTTCCTTTTCTAGGACACATCATCTCGTCTGAGGGAATGCGTGTGGACCCTGACAAGGTTGAGGCTGTGGTAGAATGGCCAAGTCCAGATTCCCGTAAGGCCCTACAGAGGTTTCTGGGATTTGCCAATTTCTATCGGCGGTTCATTCGCAACTTCAGCTAGCTAGCCGCGCCTCTGACTGCCTTGACCTCCCCCGCAGCTCCGTTCAGGTGGTCAGATACAGCCGAGGCTGTGTTTGCCAACCTCAAGAGCCGCTTTGTTTCAGCTCCCATCCTCGTTGCCCCTGACTATTCACGGCAGTTTGTGGTGGAGGTCGATGCGTCAGAGGTGGGGGTAGGTGCAGTTCTGTCCCAGCGCTCTCCCACAGACGACAAGATGCATCCTTGCGCGTTTTTTTCCCATCGTTTATCCCCAGCCGAACGTAATTACGACATTGGTAACAGAGAGTTGTTGGCAGTCAAGTTAGTGTTGGAAGAATGGCGACATTGGTTAGAGGGATCGAGGGTACCCTTTATCGTCTGGACCGACCACAAGAATTTGGAGTACATCAGAACCGCTAAAAGACTCAACTCTAGGCAGGTTCGGTGGGCACTCTTTTTCGGTCGTTTTGATTTTTCTCTCTCATATCGCCCGGGTTCTAAAAACATCAAACCCGATTCATTATCTCGCATTTTTGATTTTTCCGAACGCCCGTCTACTCCCGAGTGCATTTTACCGGAAAGTCTATTTGTTTCCACACTCGTATGGGAGATCGAATCGAAGGTCAAGAAGGCCTTAGAAGGGGTAACGCCTCCGCCCGCATGCCCACCGAGTCATTTATTTTTGCCAGAGGGATTAAGATCAGACGTCACCCGATGGGGCCATTGTTCCAACATAGCTTGTCATCCAGGAGTTAATCGTACTAACTTTTAGTTAAGCAACGATTCTGGTGGCCACGTATGGCTCGTGACATTCACAGTTTTGTTTTGGCTTGCTCGGTCTGTGCTACTGGTAAGACTTCCAATCGACCCCCAGATGGGCTCCTCCAACTGCTGCCAGTCCCTTCGAGACCCTGGTCCCATATCGCTCTAGATTTTATCACCGCCCTCCCACCCTCTCAGGGTAACACTGTAGTTTTGACAGTGGTGGACCGGTTCTCTAAGGTGGCTCACTTTATTCCCTTACCCAAATTACCCTCAGCTAAGGAGACAGCGTTGACAGTCGTTGACCACGTCTTTCGCTTACATGGCCTCCCGACGGACGTGGTCTCTGACAGAGGACCCCAATTTGTATCCAAATTTTGGAAAGAATTTTGTAAATTACTGGGGGCGACAGTTAGTCTGTCTTCAGGGTTTCACCCTCAGAGCAATGGCCAGACCGAGAGAGCCAACCAAGATTTGGAGAGAGTGTTACGATGTTTGGCATCCAAGAATCCTTCCTCATGGAGCCAGCATCTTTCCATGGTGGAGTACGCCCACAATACCTTACCAGTGTCGTCCACGGGCCTATCTCCGTTTGAGTGTAGTGTAGGATACCAGCCACGTATTTTTCCCAGTCTGGAATCTGAAGTCGCGGTCCCCTCTGCTCACGCCTTTATCCAGAGGTGTCACCGCACTTGGACTAGAGCCCGTGAGACTTTACTCCAAGTGGGGGCGCGCACCAAGGCTAAAGCCGATCGCCACCGGTCGAAGCCTCCCGTATACGTCGTCGGTCAAAAAGTGTGGCTTTCTACCAAGAACATTCCTCTCCGCTCCGTCTCGAATAAGCTCGCTCCCAAATTCATTGGCCCGTTTACTGTCACCAAATCCATTAGTCCGGTGGCAGTCCGCCTTAATCTACCTCCTGCGTACAGGAGAATTCACCCCGTATTCCACGTTTCCAAAATCAAGCCCGTGTTTCGTTCTCACTTTAATCCGCCAGTCCCGGTCCCCCACCCCCCCCCCCCCCCCCCCCCGCCGCGTCTCGTAGATGGGGATACCACCTATTCGGTAAATCGGATTCTGGATTCCAGGCGGAGGGGGCGCGGATTCCAGTACTTGGTGGACTGGGAAGGTTACGGTCCGGAGGAGAGAAGTTGGGTACCTGCCAGAGACATTCTGGATCACTCCTTGATCGATGACTACAATCGACAGTTAAGGAGTTCTGAGAACGCCAGGAGGCGTTCTTAGGAGAGGGGTACTGTCACGGTATACAGATCCAATGTTTCCTTCTTGTCTCGTGCTTGTGTTGTGGTATGAAAGCACATGTACTGTGGGCGTGAATGTTGTCATTCCTTAATCCGCTCCAGCTGATCATCATTAATCATCACCAGCTGCAGCTCATCCCCACACTGCTTAAATACTCACCTCATTCTCACTTCCTTGCCAGATCGTTGTTTGATGTCCTGGGTGTCGGTGTTGTGTTTCGTTCCTGGTTTCCTGATCTCCGTGTTCCTGTGGATTTGTCGTCTCGGTGTTGGATTGTTTCGTCTCGTCTTCACTCTTCACTTCACGAGGATTCACCGCACTCTGACCATCGAAGTCCCTGCGTTATCTGTCCACACCCGTGTCATTGTCCTGTGATTATACTTCCTGATTAAAAGATTGAGTAACTGCATTTGCTTCCTGTTCTCCTTATAATCATGACATGTAGCACAGTTCTCCCTGAGCGAACCAATGAGCTGCTAGCTAGCCCGCTCATGGTCTGCTGCAGTTGATCTGTGTTGACAATGGATCCAAAATTAAAGGATAATATTTTGGCTTCAACTTCTTAGAAAAGATTAATCTTCTCAGAAAAGATGAATCTTTCCCGTAGCGTAAGCTAGCTTACACAATACTCGTTCCCTCATCTGGAGAGAACCGAGGTTACGTTAGGTAACCGATTCGTTGTTTCACATAACAGATGTTAAATTAAGTCAAAACAAAATAACAACTGAATATACACACAATTCCCTGTTCAAAAGTTTACATGATTTTTGTCACCTGAATGTGATAGTTGTTCATGAGTCCCATTTTTGTCCCGATCAGTTAAACTGTCCACTGCTCTTTATACAAATCCTCAGGGTTGTTTGGAACATTTCCAGTAGTTATTGATTTTGAGATCAATCTTTTCACACTGAGGACAATTGCAGGACTGTAAATATTGATGTTCGGGAAGGCAACAGGCTAAAATTGTCTTCTGGGAAACATGTAACTATCTTATGTAGCTTTTGAAGAGCACTACTAAACAAAAAATTAGAAGTTGTGGTCAAAATAAGATCAATTTACCTCAATCACCATGTTCAAAAGTTTACACCCCTGGCTCTTGTTATATTGTTCTTTTGTTGCTGTGTTCCCAGGATTTGTTCCACTGTACCAGGACTTTAAGAACTTCTAGGAATCTGTAGATGAGGATCAGAGATAACTGGAACAGGCCCATATGCAGCGTCCCTGGAGCCAAGATGGACCTGGTGGAGCGGGTCACACCTGACTACAACTGGACCTTTGAGTGAGTGTTAAATTGCCAGGATATATCCAGGATATGATCTGAAATCTAAAACTTATCAGCAGGGTTTAGTCTTATACCCTAAACCAGTTAAATGCAAATTTGTCTGATTTCCAAACTAGTCAGGAGTAAACATTATCAGAGTTTATTAAAGGATCTTAGGTTGCGTCTTTCTCAGTGCTCAGTCTGACTTTGTCTGACCACTATAAATTTGAATAAATCTGAATGTAGTGTTTACATGAACTCTAAAAAAATGATGAAAAGTGATCGGTTGATGTGTGTTTTAACATTGCTAAGAAAATTCCCGCTCCTCCGTGAGAGATACGAGACCGGTGTGTCTCACAGGTGTCGCTCATCGGTAATCACGCCACCGGCCTCGCGCCGTTCTCCCGCGGCCCTCACTCGTCCTGCTCGCCACAGTACACATGATGAATGGCGACTTTAGAACACAAAAGCCGAATCCCGGACATTTTGGGGTGATCTCGAAACACATTTTCGGGCAGACTCACTCATCACGGAGACTCACTAGTAGCCTACATTTGTTGTTTAACGACTGCGCTCTGTTACCGGTAGGCGTGGCCTCCTAGGGCAGTGAAGCAAGTGTATTCTGGGAGTGTCTTTCATCCACATGAGCCACAAATACATTTTCTGGCTTTTCTCAGTATAGAAAGCTGTGGTGTGACCTGATGTGATTTGTGCAAAAGCATTTGCAAAGGGAGGCTGGTTTGCATACTTTTTCTGGCTTAGAGGAAGGCCATTTCATTCTTTTTGTCTAGAAATAATAATAATGATATTTATCATATTTATCACATGCACATTGTAATGGCAGAGGAGGATGGGATGGGACAATGTAAAAAATAAAGCTGAAATGGAAATTTAAGTTACCATTTATATAATCAGAGAATTTTCAAATCTTTTGAAAATATTGTTTACTTCCTGGCTATCAAATAGCTCAAAAGCACAGCATCATAAAGACTCCATTTTCACATATTGCAATATCTAGTCTATCTATGAGTATGCATTAATGTTACATCTGACCTGCGTTCTTCTTTTTTTTAGCATGGAGCAACAGTACGACTTCCTGAGGACATTGCCCTAAAGAAAAAGTACAAAGCTTACCTGTACCTGGATGAGGCCCACAGTATCGGGGCACTAGGACCAAGAGGCAGAGGTGTGGTGGACTACTTCGGCCTGGATCCATCTGACGTTGACATCATGATGGGCACTTTCACCAAGAGCTTTAGTGCTGCTGGAGGATACATCGGAGGAAAGAAGGTTTGTCCACACAGTTTAAGCTGTCAATCCAAATTCCAGAGTTTATAAATGGCGTAATGAATAATTGCCACTCTCTTTTTTTATAGGAGCTGATCGATTACCTCCGGTTACACTCTCACAGTGCAGTTTATGCTACCTCAATGTCCCCACCAGTCACCCAGCAGATTATTGCTTCTATGAAGTGCATTATGGGAGAGGATGGCACCACATTAGGTGAGTTTAGAATTTTATTCAAGATCAGTTCTAATAAATATTACTTGGGTGGAATAATCTTTGTGTGGGTTTTATTCAAAATAATATCTGTAATGTAATAGTCAAGCCAAAATTTATATAGACACCTTCAGCATTTTTCACATTATCACAGTTTATTTGCTATAGTTTAGAAAATGGTAATACAATATGACAAGATCTCACTGGTTTTGGCCATCCTTCTGTTAGACTGTCTCACAAATGAATAAGGTTGAATAGCTGTCGGCTGATAAATTTAAGTACACAATTAGATCAACCAATTACATAGCAATGCTTAGTCTGTGGTGTAAAAAGGTCACATTAGCAATTAAAGAAAAACACTTTAGCAAAACTTGGTCAGGTCAAAGTGTCTGAATAAATTTTGGTTTCAAATTTTTATGAATTTCACTGGTAGTCACTGTATGAAGAATTTTTTGGTATAATATGTCACAATTTACTTAATTATGCTATCCTCACTTACATAAATGAACTAGTGTCCTGCACCCACTAGTAAAAAATATAGAAAAATGATATCTGCTGTCTGAATACTTTTTGGTTTGACTGTACCTAATGTAGTAGTTATAGTGTAATTGTACATTTATAGTATGTGTAATGTCAAAAAGAGCCAATAGATGGCAGCATTAACTCAGAAAACTCAGTGAAAACTCAGTGTCCTATAATGTAACCAAGGTCCAGTTGTTCAAATAGTTTAATTTGGATCAGAATAATCCTGATGTGGAAATCCCATGTTTTGCTGGATCAGGATTTGTTCAAAGCAAAATAGGATTAGATCACCACCTTTTCAGATTACCATATATGGATTTAGCTAGGCTGCGAGCTATGTAAATAACTATAAGTGTTTCATTTGAAGAGAAAAAAATTACAAATAAACATCTCCCTCCTTTTTCTATTTTCTTTAAACAGTCAGAGCCCTAGAGAGGCACTAAAGGGACATGATGATGGGAACAAATACATGAAATGGGAGAAGAATTATATATTTGAATGCTTTAGCATTTTTTGGCAAAAAGTTTTGCATTCCCCCAAGAAACTTTGCACTCATTGGCAAAGAGCAAACGTATTGAGAGTGAATGCAAAAGCTTTAAAAAGATTTTTTCCCCCTATCTCATATTTTTTCTCCCATTATCATGTCCCTTTAGCCCCTCATGTGACCCACAATTAAAAACAAAGAAATACCTCCTATCTTTAATGTCCATTGTTTAGAATCACAGAAGATGGTTTGTATTATACACAAACACACAAGAAAGTACACAGGTGAACAGCATGTGACCCAAAGTATATCGCCAGACTACCTTTCACCACAGAGCATTTATTTTGAGGGAGAAAGATGGCGCCTGCTGGTATGGCTGGCCGTCTGCTGCTCCCGGTTATGTGGATTTTTACTTTGTTTTTATCCACTATTTTAAATACTACAGACTCTCTATTAGCGTACGATCGCCGAACGCTTTTAAGCATCAGGTCTGGTTTGGATAATGTCCCGATCGATTTTGTGAGCTGGGGTGGAACAAACAATTCCTCTCTTCCACCGTTCCTGTGTGAAATACCTGCTGATCTCCGCCGAACCCCATGTTTTCCCAGGAGAAAGAAGCGATTCAGAGGTGGTCGGTTGGTGAAAATAAAGACTTTCTTAGCTTTGTTCCCGAATGTTGATCCTCGCGGGATGTTCGGGGAGTGGAATGTGGACTATCGCTGCTATGCGCCTTGGCGCTCCGTGGATCCTGTGTACAGGTGGCTATTTGACTGATGTGGACCCGGATAAAAAGCCTTTGGTTACAACCTACTGGGCATCCAGGTTTAAAAGAACTGGGGATGTAATTTTCCATAGGTCTGTGGGCCTTAAATCCCCGGTTGCAACTCAGGCTTAGGCAACTCTCCATCGGTCCTTGGTCTGTCAGTCTCCGACAATCACTGTCGCTGAAAGACTACTCCTGCGAGGATAGCTTTGGTGGATGCTAGATCATTAGCCAACAAGTCCTTTATTTTGAATGACTTTTTTACCTGCAAGGACCTGGATATGTTGTGTGTGACTGAGACCTGGGTCGGGTCACACCTATTTTAACTCTCCATGGCTTACCGGACGGGGAGGTGGAGTAGCTACTATTTTTAAAGAACACTTAAACTGTAGGCATTTGCCTGCTTTCTCCTACTCCAGCTTTGAACTTAATGTTTTTGAATTTGATCTGAACCATCCTGTACTGTGCACTGTGGTTTATCGCCCACCTACTTATAACAAAGATTTTATTGATGATTTCTCTGATTTTTTAGCCAGTGTCATGATCAAATATGACCGGGTCTTAATTGTGGGGGATTTTAATATCCATTTGTGCTGTCCTGAAAAGCCTCTAGTCAAAGCTTTTTTAAACTTTGTGGAGTCTTTTAATTTAACTCAGTCTGTTGTTTGTCCGACTCATATATGTGGGCATACATTAGATTTGGTGTTGACATATGGCCTGCCTATTAGTAACATCAACGTTTGTGATGCCACTTTTTCTGACCATTTGCCTGTCCTATTTGAGATATGTACTTCTTGTGACTATAAAGAGACTGCTCCAAAACGTCTTCCTCGGATAATAAAGCCTACAACTTCACATTTATTTTCTGATGCTTTAAACTCAATTGAGCTGGATTATTTGATGCCATCACAGGGACTGATGAATTAACCCTTATGCTGCATTAGGGACATTTTTGGTCTTTTGCAGTTTAATTTCTTTGACCATTTTGGCTGTTAATGCAAATGATATGTAATTTGGCAAAATTGTGACTTTTTGGATAAATGTAAAAAATGTGATCCAAATTTGCAAAATATGTATAACACACACTGTGTAGATCAAATAGTAACACTCAGCACCATAAAGACCAAAAAATGGCCCATTGAAACCCATTAAAACGTTGTTTAAATCCGAGGCTGTCATTAATACATGAAACATGATTTTTGCTCAAACATCCTTTCATTTTGAAGCAAAAGCATTATATTTGCATTATATAGTGTATTCCACCAGATGATGTCACTACATCTGTATTCCCTATGGGTGGAAATGCACCTTATTTTCTGGTTTCCACTAGGGGCAGTATGGAGTGCGTTATGAAGCATTTTAATGGCTCAATGATCTAAAATTATGTTTCTGAGTAGTGTTGTCAAAAAACTCGGTACTTCGGTACCAAGTCGGTACTAAAAAAAAAAAAATGTTACGGTACCAGCTTTTCTAGGTACCGAATACCAGGTTCGTCCAGTTCTGTTCTAGACGCGATGTCTGAAACGTGCACAGTTGCGTCCTCTTTAACGCTGATATGGCTCTCTCTCTCTCTGAATCCACTTGTTGACACGAAAGGAGGAAAGAGCCACATATGGAAATATTTTGGATTAGGCTAATGTCACGTTGCCATAAGAGGCCGATTACATGCAAATTCGCAATTTCAAATATAGGCGTGATTCAAGCGCGCTCCTAATAAAAACTCGTTGGCGTTGCATAGCAACGACAGACGCCGCGTGAGAGCAAGCGCTTTGGAAAGAATAAGCACGCGCAAAAATATAATTAAAAAACACGCGCGACATGTGAACGGCCTCTAAAGTGCTTTCGGGGTAGTTTTACGAGTACATGAGCACAGTAGTATCTACCCGACACCAGAGTACTATGGTATTAGTATTGTCATTTAATGTCAGTGCCAGTTCTAGGCGTATTCTTGCCTTTATAACTCAGCAGGTTTAAAAAGCCTTTTTAAAATTAAATATGAATGCAGTTTTAGATTAATAAAAGGACAGTCAAGTCAAATAAAACATGTTTTATGGTAATGCTACAAAGATACCATTCATAAACATTACTTAGTTATCAACACATTGAGTGAACAATATATTTTTACAACATTAATTAATGTTTGAAAATGTTATTTATTACAAACACCTGATTGTTCATGTTTGTTCACTTAATTCATTGTGCATTAAATAAATAATGGATTAAAACTTTACAAACAACTTTAAAAATGTGTTAGTGTATACTATTGTTTATTTTAGGTCATTTTATCTAATCTTTTTCTAAAGTGTTTATAATACAAATGTACAGTTTCCATACTTGTAACCGTGATAAACACTTAAATATATGTAAATTTAAACTAAGCTTTGGTACCAAAATTGGTACCGAGAACCGTGAATTTTAACTGGTATCGGTACCGAATACTGAAATTTTGGTACCGTGACAACACTATTTCTGAGTATGTGTGGATGTCTGAGAGCAATGTGTGTGTGTGTGTTGACAAAAGTGTGTGTAGAGCCTAAATATAATACATGGTGTTTGTGTGAGTGGCAAATCACAATTTCCTAAAGGTAATATTTTACCCTTTCTGTTTACTCTCTCTCTATCCGTGTCCCTCTCTCTCTCTCTCTCTCTTTCTCTCTCTCTCTCTCTCTCTCTCTCTCTCTCTCTCTCTCTCTCTCTCTCTCTCTCTCTCTCTCTCTCTCTCTCTCTGTGTGTGTGTGTGTGTGTGTCAGTGGTGTTGTGTGTGTGTGTGTGTGTGTGTGTGTGTGTGTGTGTGTGTGTGTGTGTGTGTGTGTGTGTGTGTGTGTGTGTGTGTGTGTGTGTGTGTGTGTGTGTGCGTGTGTGTGTGCGTGTGCGTGTGCGTGAGTGCGTGAGTGCGTGCGTGCGCTTATAGCTAGAGAAAGCGCTTCTCACTGCATTGTTTTCTTTCGGTTTGATTCATGCATATTTTACGCACAAACATGAATCTTTTGAATTTTACGCATCTTTGACATCTTTTTTAGCAGTCTATGTTTCAAAGTTAATTGATAACTTCGCACGTATGAAGAGGCACAAACACAGCCATGCAGTCAGTCCTTAGACAATAATAGACGATAATAACGAAGTCTGCCTTTCATAGTGTGGTTGATGCAAAAGTTATAAAGGTATGCACATCTTTGGTGCAGCAATTTTAAACTCGACAAGATGAAGAAAAGCTAGTGGGTCTGCAGACCCACGACAAGAGTAGGAGGGGGTGCAGTTTCAGTCCTAGCAAAAAAGAAAAATCTCCACTACCTGTTCAAAATGTGGCATTTTCATCTGTAAAGCTCAACTTCAGACAACTGCAAAAG